TTTTTTTTTTTTTTTTTAATCTGCTAGTGGATAATATCAAATAATTTCTGGAGATTTGTCTGTGTCATAAAAATCAACCCCTTAAGGTATTTTATGTTAACAAAAAATTAAGTAACCAAAATTTCTAATCACCTTGAAAACTTGACCCTGATTTTATTAACAGAGCAATCTTAACTGAGATTTTAAGAAGCCACTCACCATTCTGGCAAAGCTTACATCTCTCTATAATGACGCTAAAAATGCTTTACTATCTAACACAGAATTCCTTAAAATGTTGTATTGTTCATAATAGGTTTGTGTCCAAAAGTATTGGAATTTGCAATAATTAGAGCCAAGGACAGGCTATCACATGGGAGATGTTCTAGCCTTTATGAGACAAATGACGAACATGGATAAAACCAGGTCACTATTTTCTAGAAAAACTGAAGGATTAAGTGAAATGTTTAAAGGGAATTCAAGTCTCTGTTTAAGATTGTACAGTCAAATTTTCAAACTTGTCTAAATGATATAACATGAAAGACAACTGCAACTGTGACAAGGAGGCATCACTCTTTAGCCTCCTTATCACTATTCTCTTAAATCACCTAAAGTCACATCACAGAAAATTCTGAGTTGGAAGGGACCCACAAGGATCGTCAGGTCATTGCTGATTTGACAGAGAGTGATAAAAATGTGTGCTTGACAAGAGACAAACCACACAGAAGAAAGAAATGTGGAACATCCCTAGAGAAACACTGCTCCTTACCTTGAAGCTTTTGCAGAAAATAGGGACTAAATATTTTTGGCAGAAAATTTAGTGGATAACGTTGAATAAGGACACATGTGTGTAGCAGGTTCAGCAAGGTGTGAGGCTGAAAGTGACTAAGCCGAGTGTGCAGTACAGTTTCAAGCTTCCTAAACAAGGAAGAAGCAGTTGGAGGCAGATAGTTAAGAGTCCCAAATGGTATAATATACCCAGCAATCTGGTCGGTGGTGAGTCTGTCAGCATTGGAAATGAAACTTTCTGCCACTGCATCAAAGATGGGCTTTGAAAGGATCACCTTTTTGCAGCAATACTGCATGACTTTGCAGACTGTTTGAGGATGCATGGTAAGGATGGATTTAGGGACATGTGTTTCCAATGCCTCTGTAAAACTTTGTTCACGATGTCCAAAGTATAGGAAGGCATCCAGGACATTTACCAGCTCACAATCCATGAAATATGGAAGATGCTCAGCAGAATGTTTACACAGTGCAGTAACTAAGGCAACTGTCTGAGTCTGACAAAGAACCACCAGTGAATTCAGTATTACACTTGCAAAGTTTGGGCTTAGCTGGGAAACTGCAGGTAAAGTGACACTGTTCAGTCTGTTCAGCAAGTTTTGGTATTGTTTCCTTTCCCTGGCAGTCACCTGCAGTATTTTATAAACCATCACTATTTCCCTTGGACTCCATTTCTCAATGTCTTTTTCTTGCATGTTGTTCACAATTTGTTCCAGCATCGCACAATTTGGGCTTTGCAACTCAAGCAAACTCTCTCCAAGAGCACACAGATTTTCAACAGTCAACTGTCCCTTACCAAGCCTCTCCTCGCTCTCTGAAAGCAAGCTTGCCATCAGCGTGCTCTGCGGATCTATTTGTAGCGTTACCAATGCCTGCAATGCGTTCAGCAGCCCTCTGTTTGACAGTTTCGAAGATTCAAATTCAAATTGCAAGCATAACGCCCTGAAAACTTCATTCTCTAACACTCCAGGGTTTTTCACACCACTGTCATCCACTTCAAGTTCAGAAATCCTTAGGAGGGCTCCTGAGGCCATAGTATCAGACATGACTTCTAGAGAGCTAAGAAAGTCAAAAATCTCTTCTGATGTACAAAGGTTGTTCAACTTCTTGAAAAATAATTGTTCGTCCATCCACATGTTATTAGACTTAGTACAGTTCTCAGTTTCTCCACAAAGACACACAGTTTCGTAAAGTGACTGCAGCCGCAGTTGTACATGGTTTTTTCTACAAAACATATACTGAGATTTATCTTTGATACACAGCATCCTCATGGCTACAGAGCTACAGTACTGGGGCTTTTGCTGCCCCCTGATGAAGCTCAGTCTCTTGCTTAGGGTCATCAAAACAGACCTGCTTGCTGGTGTGCTGGATGAATAAAACTGGAAACTTTTTCGGCTAATCAAAGCCATATTGAATCAAACGGGTTCTGAAATAACACCTAAAGAAAGAAAAATACATGTAAATATATCGTTTGGGAAACAGCACTAGTGTCACTAAAATGCAGCAAAAACAAAACAAAACAAAAAACAAAACAAAGTACGCTTTGGGCGGCTGGAGAGGACTGGGACGATCCCTCTGCCACAACCACCAGCGCAAGGCAATGCAAAGAAAACAAACTGCCGGGAGCGGCGAGACCTGCGCGACAGGCTGCAGCGCACCTCTGCCCCTTGTTTCCCTAAGGACATTTCGGCAGAGGAGCGGGAAACAGACAGGGACGTTTCCCCGAGTAGGAACTGTGGGGCGGCGCTTTGCCCTCCATGCTTGAGGCCGGGGGCGCTGGGCGAGTCTGACACGGGCGGGACGGCACCGGCGGGGCTCCTCCATCGGGTTCCTCCATCCCTCTCCGCCTCACAGCCCCAGCGTCCCTCCCTCCCGCCCCAGCGCCTACTGCTGCTGCTGTTGCTGAGAAAGAAGGGGGCCGCGGTCCCTCCGTCCCGGGGGTACACGGCAGCGCCCGGAGCACTGCTGCAGCCTCACCTCGGCCGGCCATGACGGCCACCGCGGGGCCTGCCGGGATTTTCCGGCGCTCTCCTGGCGGCACCTCCGGGCGCCGGCAGCAGCCTCCGCTCCCGCCCCGCTGCCCTACGCTCAGCCCGCCCCGGCTCAGACCGCTCCGCCCATCCCCGGCTCTTCGGGGACGCGCTCTCGATGCTGCTGAGCCCGCCGCCGGCAGGGCGGTCGCAGAGCGCAGGCTTGCACTTCGTCTCGGGAGTGGGATTTGTGGATCGCGTCTTCCAGCGCAAGTACTCCCGCATCCCGCTGCGGGGGATAGCGGGCGCCGGGCGGGGAAAGTGCGCGGTGGGGTTTATGTCTGTCTTGGCGGTAGAGTGGAAGTGGTTCTGAGCAAGTCACCAGCTGTTGAAAAGGGGGCTTGGGAATGGCGTTTACGTTTCTGAAGGCACGGTCCCACAACGCAGTCCAAAGCCACACGGGAGAGTTTAAAACCCCTGCACTGAAGTTGCTTGCATTTTTTTTTATCCGGTCCGTGGCCACTCAGTTGGACATATTTGGCAGAGCCGGTACTTGACGTGCGTGGTGTGGCCTTGCAGTGCAGCCGCGTAATTGCCGGGGCCAGCACGTGTCGTGCAGTGGCATTCACGGAGGGCTTGCTGATGGACTCCCTGCCGAGCTTCTGTGGACTCCTAGCTTTTTTGACTTTTCCGAATACTGGATCAGATGAACTATAATTTGGAATTTCATCCTAAGTTTCATATTAAGCCCTGCTTTGGTCCAGCAAATCTCAGGTGGTTTTCCCGGCTTAAACTTTTTTTTTACATGTGCAGCTACCAACACAACAACATGTTAAAGGCTGTTGGTGTGGTAATACTGTTAGAGGGATTCTCTAGAAAGCTCAGTAGTAAAGAATTACCAATTTCCCCCCTCTTCATTCCAGTTGAGCTTGCAGCGCATAAGTGGGAATGGCATATCATCTTTGAAGAGTTTATAGTGCAGCAAAGAGCAGTGTGGGCAGCATGTTTATCTGAAAGCAAGCGTGTTGCTGGTTTATGATTGTTCATCTGCAGGTAGGCACGACTGATTTTTCTTTCTTTGAGCAGGCACCATTTGATCAGTTTGTGCATGGGGTTCTTTCAGTTGTTGACAGAAGACATGTTTGAATCATGACCGAATGAGTTTATTGGTCTGTTGATGACATAATTAACTGTTAGGGAGTTAACAACTACTCTTTAATCAGTTGATTGAATAACATATTCAAGATCAATAGCAACAATACAACAGATAGGATACCAGGCACTTAAAAAATGTTAATAAATGCCTACAAATATTTAAACAGCATTCTGTATCTAATTCCAAGGAATTGTCTAACTATGGTCTCTACCATTCCCACAAAGACGCATTCGCACTGTTACATACGCACACAGTATCCTCTTCCAGGATGCATATGCATCTTCAGCATCATCCCCTCTTCTGGCTGCATGGATTCACTTGTTTCCATGTGCCTTCTGAAGTAAGTGCAGTTGTTCCAGTTTTGCTATGCGGTCTACTAGTCCACAGTGAAAAAAACTCTCCCCAAGTTCACATATATTCACCAAAAATGGCTATGGCTACTTTTTGCACCCTTTATTGTTGCTGTGTGTGGAGTGGAATGAGTTTACAATGTCTTATGAAGACCACAGCTGCTCTGCCTGACCTGGGCAGAGATCGTGGCACTGTTAGGGCAACATCTGACCATGTCAGACCACATTGTGACCACTGTTCTTTCTATTGCCCTCTCCTTTCCCCCACTAAAATTTTTGTGCTGCTCAAGCATATACGTCTTCCCAAACTGACTCTGGTTTGAAGTCTGGTCATAGTCCCTTGCTTATAATGTTGGCAGCTTACTCCTCAGCTTTCTGTGTATAGAAGGCTTCTGTGCTATGGTGTGGTCCCAGTGGAAAATTGATTGTCTTTCTCCCTTTTTGAGGTATGAGAAAGAATATAGTAGTGAAATGCTGCTTCATATTTATTGTGTTTTTCTATTTATAGTCAGGTGATGCCACCTGCTGACAAGAGAATTAGGGGAAAACAGCATATGACTAGGGTGAATGTGCATTACAGCAGGGATCTGAGGGTATTTAAATTGTATTTACACTATTTTATATGAATCTTCATAGTTAGCATGTCAGCACATTTCTTTGTATTTCTTCTGGAAAAAGAGGGTGAAGAATCATTCTGTGTATTGTTTTGTTGTATGCATCTTCTGTGCACATGCACATGAAGCCGTTAATGTAAACAAATTTATTTAAAGTGAATGTTAAGGTAGTTCTTAATATTTTTGGGTGATATATGTAATCAGTTTAACTATAGATGCAAATGTAGTAGAAGAAAATACAATAAAAATCTCCACATTTTCTAGTAAATACAGTTTTCATGGAATTCACATGTTTTACAGGCTCTTAAGAACCTTTCACTTAGTTTTGCTACTTCTGATGTATAATTACGCTTTAAAAAAATTTCCCATAGGAGAAACCTTCCACAGTACTGTGGGGAGAAATATCTTGCCGTATCAGTGGAGTAGAATATTAAGTGAATGGACCATACAGCGATCGAACCCATGACCTTGCTGTTATTAGCATTCTGCTCTAACCAGCTGAGCTAATTGCACAGTCAAGTTGCACTTGTGTAGGAAACTCCTTTTTGAAATCCGAAATTAAGATCAATGTTTATGCTCCAAAGAACAGACATAGTGGACAGTGAAGTGTAAAGTCATTTGGGCAAAAAATATTGATTTCAGAAAAGAAGAAACTGAGAATTCTGTTTTTTTTCCTCAGGCTTTGTAGTTTGACTTCACCAGGTCTATGTTATATTTTGTTTTGTTTTCAAATACATCTTAGAAAAGTGAACAAAGCAGTCATTGACTTGGAATGGAAAATATAACTTACATAATAAAAGTAATATATATTTTCATAAAAATAGTTTCTGTGTTGTATTGTTTACAAACTAGATTCTTGATATTGAGGATATTACAATATTATTGCAACATCAAGGCATTAGAGCACACAGGACCAATACTTCAAAACCTGGTCTAAAAGGCTTGGTTGTGAGAAATGGCTTCTCTTCAGAGTAGATGCCTCATTTTCAAGTTAAACACCAGTACTGCTGTCTTTAAAGTATCTCTTTTGAATCTCATAAGCAAAATAAAATCTTGCTGTTCTGCGTACAATAAATTCACTTTTTCTAATTCTTTTTTCCCCTGCAGTGTCTCTAGAAAAAAGTTAAAATCCTGTGTTTTGGAAAATGGGCTGTAATTCAAAAAGGAGGTTTTTACTCCTCTATGCAACACAAAAGGGGCAGGCAAAAGCCATAGCTGAGGAAATATGGCAGCAAGCAGGTGCCCATGGACTTGAAGCTGATATGCATTGTATAAGTGAAATGGATAAGGTGAGATACTCCACAGTTTTGAAAAATAAGTATTTAAGAACTGCATTTTTCTTCATGTGCTTGAGTGGTGGCCCTTTGTAATCTTGAAGGCTAGCTGATGCACCCACCTAAAATATACCATTGAATTTTAATTTTTTTTCCTTGTGAGTCAGTAATTTGGACCAATACTCACAGTCATTTAATAGCCTTCTGCCGAAGACACGTGATTCTTATGATTTTTCTTATAAGAACTCTAAATCTTTATCTCTCTTCTAAGAATAATTCAGTGATTTCTTGAAAACTATTTCTGTATGCAATAGGGTAGGGTCTCCTGTTGTTAGAAATGGTGTGCTTCCCTACCCCCCACCCCTCCTTGTTGTGTCTCATTGGTTGCATTGATGTTCTGTGTTCTTTTAACTTTGGGCTCCGGCATGGCCTGGAGCTTTTGTGGGGTCTTCTTGTGTTGCTTGTGTAGGCACTTCAATTCCCACAGGATTCACTCGAGTTGTATTCTAGAAAGAAGTAAAAAGCTTGTCTGGAGCAAGGAAGTGGCTTTTTGTTACTTGCTGTTATCCAAGAGTAAGAATATGAAAACTGTTAGTGTCTAACTAAAAGCAATATGAAGCGTAATTTCCTTCACAAAGTACTTTCGACTGTATGTCCTCAAACAGAACCATATAAAAACTATAAAAAACAATCAAAACTTGATAGCCTGCTATTTCATATGGGACGAGAAGAAAATAACACCTAAAAGATTTTTTTTCACGCACTTGAAAATGTGAGATATTTTGAATGAATATTCCCTGAGTATGTAGCTGAACATTACAAAGAGACTTCTATGCAACCAACCTGGAATGTGAAGATTCTCCTTATATCATTCCATTTAATTTCTTTTGCATTTGACAGGTTTGGAGATTAATTTCAGGAAGGTGGTAGGCAGGATATTTCTGCCTCTTGAATAAATCTATTCTGTCAGATTTGGCAAGACAACTCAGTTGTCTTGCTGCAAGTTCATGATGAGGTAGAAATATGTACTGAATTGAGAATCTGAGAATTACGCACTGAGGAAAAAAAGTAATTTCTGCAGCTTCATATATTTTGTCACATAAGTTTCTGCTTTTCCCCTGTTTGTCAGTTAGAAGGTCCATCTTTATGTTGCTGTTGGGTATTTTCAGATCTTGTCATCACTTAAAGGGATTGCTGTGATGGTGTATGGATGGAGTAGGTGACTACAGAGTCAATACTCACAATGTGATCCTCTTGCCATGCAAAAATGAATGGTCAAATACTGCTCAGATCTCAGAAACACTGGCTGTTTCCAAGTAGTTTCTGTCACCTGCAGTCTCATGGGTGAGAAAAGGTCATAAATCTTTGGTTGGTCATGGTGATTGCTTTTTATGGAAAACTGAAGTGGAAGTGAGGTAGTAGCAGTAAAAAATGGGAGGCTACATGTGTTGTGACCCAAGGAGATCATTGGGTCACAATACATGTAGTCAGCCTTGCATGAGTTACCTGAATAAGTGCATTTGTCATGATATATATTATTCTGGATAAGACAAACCTGGGTTTCTGATTCTGTCCTCTTCAGTAATCATTCAGAGCTTGAACATGCATTTTGCTACTCTTATGTGGCGTTGCTGTCCTCAGCTGAGGAGAACTTTTGAAGGAAAGAATAAAAATAGGACAAACCTGCAACACTAAAAATATAAGAAGTGGAAAGTAGAATAAAAAACTGTAGTTTTGTTAGGTTCTTGTTGTAGTTGTGTTAGGTCTAGTGATATATCTCCTAGTAACTGACAGAAATTATTGTAGAACCTTTATCATCAAATGTTTGGCTTCCAAAAGTTTGCAGATGAGAATCTGCAATGGAGCAAGCAAGAATTTAGTGAACTGATCATGCCTCTGTTCTAATACACTACTTTGTACTTTCTGAACTTGGTTTTTTTTTTTCTTTTGGTTTTTGTGTGTTTTTTTGGGGGGGTTGTTTGTTTGTTTGTTTCTTTTTTATTTTGTCTTTTTTGTTTTTTTAATGGAACTCAGTAAATTAGTAAATTTAATGAATTCTTATGGGATACCACTAGACCCTTACTTTCCTTCCTTTGCTTTTGTTTATAAATGCAGTAGTCACCTGTGGCAATGCACTGCAGAAGCTGTTGTGTTTGTACTTAGCAAATCAGCTGTGGAAGTTTTGAAAATCTGGGTTATTATTGCAACAGGACCCTTAAGGCATTTTTTTGTTCAACTTATACTTCAGTTTTGGAAGTCAAAGGATTTTGTGGGTTCTTGGAGTTCACCTGAACTTGTGAAAGACAAAACCTCTATTGAAAATGTTCCTGAACCACAACTCATTGAAATCTGGCAAAGTAATTGGGGAATATCCTTGCATGCTTACTCTGTGTGCTTACACTTCTCTAGGCATCTGCTGTAGGCCACTGTCAGAGACAGAACTAGGTTCCAGTAGTAATTAACTTGACTATACAGCTGCTTTTAGGTTTTTCAGAAAGGTTTTGGAAACACTGCCAACAGCAAGACCCCTTTATACTCTGTTTCTCTGTATTCCTAATATTTTGGGTTGTAGGTGTCAGGTAATTTTTTACATGGCTTGACAAAGGGATAAGGTTTGAATGATTTATAAAGCGAGATGTTTAGAACATAACTCCTGAAACTCTGAAATTTTGACTTTCAGGCCTGAAAGTGCTCTAAGTGAAATACCGTATCTGTTGCAATCTTTATTTTCACATAACCCTACTATTTTGATTAAACTTGGAATGCTGGAAGAAAATTTTAACTGCAATCTCCAGGGAGCAGTTGAAGGAGCTTAGGTTGCTTATTATGGCAAAAATGAGGCTGAGGAGTGATCTAATAGCAGCCTATGTGAGCCAAACTCTTCTTGGCAGCAGAAAACTGTGTAACAGGAATACAAATCCACTGACTGCAATCTGATAAACTCAGATTTGACACTAGTGGGGAAGTTCTTCTGGATGAAAGAAGCTGCCCAGAAAAGGGGAATCTCTACTCTTTAGAAGTGTTCAAAATTCAACCAGAGTTGTAGCTGACCAAGTGCAGTGCTGGCAGTTAGTCCCACTTGGGGTGTGGGGTGGGGTTGGTGTCCTCCAGGGGTCATTCCTGAACAAGGTGTCTGTAGAGCTGTTTCACAGGTCACTGGCTGGCTGCGTGGTTCAAACCCCATAGACCATAGGGGTGCTGTGAGAGCAAGTTGCGTGGGTGACCTGGTCCAACAGCATGCTAGCACAGTGCCCAGCCCACTATCAATTGAAAGCTGGAATAATCAAAGAATTGAAATGATTTTTACTTGAGATGAGACCCAAATTTATGGAACTGACACACTGACACTGCCTAGTACAGGCAGTTCTTGTCAACATGGTATAATGGGAGTAGCCCCTAAGAAACTGGGAAATGTGTAAGATTGCTATTAGCAAAGGGGAGAGAAGTGAATTGGGGGCAGGGTGAAGGGGCCAAAATTAATCAGGCTATAGAGTACAGTGTCTGATTATCACTGTTCAGAGCTACCTTAGTTCTCCCAAAGCACAGGGACTTTTTGTGGCAACAGATGTAACATGAAAGTTGCCAGACAGAACCAAATGATACTTAATGGAACTTAGAAATTATCCCCACAGTCTGTAAGGCCACACCCCACTTATCTGTGTGAAATTACGAGGTTTATGGCTGACTGTGCAATTTCGATCATATATGCAAAAATACTTTTTCCACTTGAGAAATTAAATGCTGTAGGATTTGCCTATCTAAGCTGCCTGAGTGCAGTTGTGAGGTATTCTTCATGCTGCTCAAAATGCTGCACTTTGACATTTATGTATGGGATCATAGCATACTTCAGGTTGAAAGAGACTTCATGAGGCCATCTTGCAGCAGGGTCAGTTGAGGTCAGAGCAGGTTCCTTGTGGCTTTACCCAATCTGGTTTTGAGAACTCCAAGCAAGATTATAAATTACATCCTCAAGACAACTTGTAATTACTTTAAAGACTTTCTGTGGTTTAATTTAGTTAAAATGAGATTAAATGTTTTTCTGTGTACCTTTGGGAAGAGGAAGGGCGGAAGATAGCTTATCTAAGGCCACAAATAGGTATCAAATGGCACCTTGTAACTTGACTTTTCCTGTTGCTTGTAGTATAACCTGGAAACAGAAAAGGATCCTGTGGTTATTGTTATTTCCACTACTGGTACTGGAGATCCACCAGACACTGCCCGCAAGTTTGTAAAGAAAATTCAAGACACAACCTTGCCTCCTGATCATTTTGCACATCTCCAGTATGGATTGCTAGGTGATTTACTATTTTCTATATTATTGCAGAACTTGTCTGTCAGTGAATATTTTTTGTCTTTTTTTACTTCTAAATAGGTTGGTTGGGGTTTTTGAAGTGCTTATAAAACATTTATTTTTATAATATAGACACTTTCTTTGTGTAGTGTCATCTATGGGCAATAGTGGAAAAGTGTCACAGAAATGATCTGAATGTTAGCGTCCAGAGTAATTTTTTAATGTTTAATTTTCTTTGCACAAAAAACATACAATGTAAGCTATCTATAACTGTTGAAAGTTTTAATTTCAAGTCTCTAGGAACTAGATTCGTTTATTTGACTGCGTGAATCATTGGGCATTTTTCTATACAGAGGGAAAGACCGTGTAAAAGGTTCTTAAAAAGAAGGTTTTTAAGATCATCCCATCCCTTTAAATTTGCAGTCATATTTTAATTTTGAATGTCATATTTATCAAGAGAAGGAATGTAACTTTGTCTTAAACATGGGTAAGCAAAATACAGATTTGGCAAAATGCAGCTGATGTATCTTGAACTGATGGTAATGTCAGTTTGTTGGGTTTTCAGATTGTGTTTGTAAACAGACTCCAGAAATGTCTATTTGAACCTAGGTTATTTTTATCTGACAAGTTTAAGTTGATAGCTGGGAGTGAGAAAACTTCTAGGTGTCTGGAGAGCAAGGTAGTCACTAGAAGGAAATTTCTACTGGATATATAGTGTGGAAGTCTGAAATATATGCTCGCAGTCATGTAGTGTTTTGAGATGTGTTACTGCCTAGTTATACATTACAATTTGTGAAATGGTTAGGTTTTTCATAGGTTACTAAACGCATATGTGCAGGTATGAAGATAAGCACTGTATTAATACTGACTTCTGTTATAGCAGAAATTACAGTGTCTAAGTTATAACATGATTCAAGTCTAACAACTTACCAGTCTTAAAATACATTCACAGTATTCATTTCTGCTGGTTCAATGAAGTGTTTGCTTTAAATATTGTACTTGAGTGAGAGCAGAAGTCCTCTTAAAGAAAAAAAAACTGTTATAAGGGTAGAGAAATAGTCCATTATTAGGTGGCATCATGGTTTAACCCCAGCCAGCAGCCAAGCCCCACACAGCTACCCTCTCACTCCTCCTACCAGCTCTGTTGTGGGATGGGGCAGAGAATTGTGCAGGTAGAAGTAGTAAAACTCATGGGTTCAGATAAAGACAGTTTAATAGAGAAAGCAAAAGCTGCTCACTCGAGCAAAGCAAAACAAGGAATGCATTTACCCTTTTCCGTGGACAGGCAGGTATTTCAGCCATCTCAAGCAAAGCAGGGTTCCATCACACATAGCAGTGATTTGGGAAAATAAGCACCATCACTCAGTATGTCCTCCTCCTTCTTCTTCCCCCAGCTTAATATGCTGAGCATGATGCTATGTGGTATGGAATGTTCCTTTGGTCAGTTGGGGTCACCTGTCATGGCTGTGTCCAGCTTGTGCACCCCCTGTCTCTTTGCTGGTGGGGTGGGGTGAGGAGCAGAAAAGGCCTTGACTCTGTGTAAGCACTGCTCAGCAATAGCTAAAACATCCAAGTTATCAGCACTCTTTCCAGTACAAATCCAAAACATGGCCTCATAGTAGCTATGATGAGGAAAATTTACTCTATCCCAACCAAAACCAGCACAAATGGGAATAATAAGGGTCTAGTTGTTTGGAATTGCACATGAGAAAGAGTCAGGCTATGAAAAATTCTGACAGTGATACTGAACCAGAAGTGTGGATTACTTGCAGAATTTGTGAAGACTACCTAACCAGTGGTCTTTGGGATTGTTAGACAAGCATCTGTTAAGGATTATTGATCACTTTTAAGGTGGGTCAGTGTTTTAGTTGACCTCTTAAATCCTCCATGGACAAACCACCTGACTGACAGTTCAGCATCTTCTAACAGAACATCTTCACAACAGTTAAAGGGCAGAAAACCCAGTGCATTTAAAACAAGATCTACAAAGAAATCTTAGATTCCTGAGGAGGAGGCTGTTGGACCAGATTCCTTCATTCTGATTTTCCTACTTTTTCCTTGTTTAAAATCACTCCTATGTTTTCTCTTTTTTCTCAAGTTTCCAGGGTTTTTTTGATTTCTTTTAATACTCCCTCTCTTATATTCTTGATATATTATTAACAACTTCACCCTGAAAGTTACACAGTTTGTTTCAGTAATTCACACACAGTTTATCAGTTGTATTATTTTTAATTTTTTTTTGGTTCCTTACATTTTTCTTGTAAAAGGAGTTTTGTATTTTTTAAAAACCTCAAACAAAATAGCATTTTTCTAAAATGTGAAATATTGAAAGCAAAGTGTTTTCAGAATATTTATCTGTCCTATATATTTGATGGAGGAGCCACTTTTTCAGCTCTGTTTTGCGACAAACACAATTTTGTTTGAAGTTCACATATACGTAAGTAGTTTTCCATGCAGCATCTGAATACTTACATACACAAGTGTTTATGTAATTATATCATAGAGTCACAGAAGGCTTATGTTGGAAGGGACCTTAAAGATCATCTAGTTTCCAACTCTCCTGCCGTGGACAGAGACACCTTCAACTAGATCAGTTTGCTCAGAGCTCCATCCAACCTGGCCTTCAACACCTCCAGGGATGAGGCATCCATAGCTTCTCTGGGCAACCTGTTCCTGTGCCTCACCACCCTTACAGTAAAGAATTTCTTCCTAATATCTAATATAGACCTATTTGTTTTCAGTTTGAAGCCATGCCCCCTTGTCCTGTCACTACATGCTCTTGTAAACAGTCTATCTCCATCTTTCTTGGAGGCTCCCTTCAGGTACTGGAAGGCCGCAGTTAGGTTACCCCCAAAGCCTTCTCTTTCCTAGGCTGAACAGTCACAGTTCTGTCAGTCTTTCTTCTTAGGAGAGGTGCTCCATCCCTCTAATTAACTTGATGACCCTCCTGTGGACTCACTCCAACACATTCTTCTATTTGCCTGCAGGAAAATCCTCTATTGTCTTTGCAGATCTTTATCTGCATAGCCTTGGTGGCTGCCTGATTGACATGATTCCTCTTTCCTTGAATTTCCCAGGTCTGGGAGATTCAGAGTACATGTTCTTTTGTAATGGTGGAAAGACAGTAGACCGACGACTTCAGGAACTTGGTGCCCAGCACTTCTATGACACAGGATTAGCTGATGATTGTGTAGGGTAAGAGCTGAATGAGTTTGGATTTTATTTCTTCAAGATGCAATATTTGCATGTGTATTTGGCTGTGTTCTGAACCATTTGAAATCTGTTGAACCTGGATGCTCAGCACCTCACAGGAATGAATTTCACCTGACCACAGTATGCCTTTTCAATCTCAACTGTTATTAAGTAAAACTCTATTTTTAAAGTGTGAGCAAACATTTTTAATGCCTGGAAAAATAGCAAATATTTAGCAGTTTAAGAAATTATGTAGTTCAAAGTAATTGGAGGGATTATAGATGTAGCCTGTTTTTTCCTTTTTTTCTGGGGGGGAGGTAGTGGGAGGAGGGTGACTGTAGGATTTATGTAGAGGAATTATGTAATAAGATTTTTTTGTTTGCTATAGAGGAATTACGTAAGAAAACAACTCCCTCACTGTTCTGCTGCTCTTTCTGGCCAGTAGGCTGCAGTCTTGTCTTAGTTATTTTGAGCTGCAGCTTACATTGGTTCTGTGCATGCTGATGCAAGGCAGCTGAATACAACATTTTGATAACCATAAAACTTATATCCTGTGTTCTAAAATAATAAAAATGGACTGTTAGTGTAAACTATTGATGTTGCTGTAGCACAATGAAAAGTTGCATATTCTGGTACCGTTACTTCAACTTGCTGTCATAAAGTTCAGCATATGAAAATAAAAATGAGAAACTGGAAGAAGAGTGAGGCTGTTATACATTTTAAACTACATAAATTTACACAGTGATAGTAACTAAATAATTTTTTTAAAACAAAGAAGTAATCTTGGTAAGAACCACAGTTATTAAAATAGAAAGTTGAGTGTTTTTAGCTTTTGTTGTCTTTTCATTATTTCTAAATTAATACTCCAAAAAGTCACAATAATTAATTGATGCATTTCTTCTTTTTTTTTTTCTCTCCATCCCCAGTTTGGAATTAGTGGTTGATCCTTGGATTGATGGACTTTGGCTTGCCCTCAAGGAAGCATTGCTATTGCAGAAAGAGAAAGAAGGCATGAACAGTGTTGTTGATGCTGTTTCTAGCTCTCTCTCTCCAACTCCACATGTTGTGCATGAACTGAACTTAAGTTCTGAAGTACAGAACTTGAAGCTAGAAGATGAGGGAGCAAGGAGTTCTGATGTTCTGTCACAGAAACCGGATGACATTAATCTTGTGACTCCAGCTAGAAACACTGAACCCTCACTTGTTAATTCCGTCCCTCCTGTCTCCCAGTCTGCTCTTAATATTCCTGCCCTGCCACCAGAATACATAGAGGTGCAGTTTCAAGGCACCCATGGTAAGGTAAGGACTTCACTTTGAGTGGTAAAAGCCTCCAGTTCTCCTAAGAGTATGAGTGTATACTCCTACATACAGCTCAGAAGAGAAGTGGATACTTACATAAAGGAGATATGTCCCCAGGTACAGGAGGTTTTTGAATTTTAAGTGAAAGGCCCTTTTAGATTGTGAAAATGTAGTTGTCACCATATGAGGTATGAACACATATGCCAAGATAAAATTTAGCTAAATGGTAATTTGGCATTGCAATGTCAGAAAGACAAGAATTCAGATCCTCAGTGGCTTATGTTATGACTACAAAGACATCTTTCTGTAGTGAGGAGTATAGTACAGTTTCTGTTCAATTTTGAGTACTTTCAGAATGCATTACGAGGCTCTAAATTACTCAGAGTTTTGCTGCACACTAACCAACAGAGAAACTTGGCCATTGTAAAAACATGATCATAATTTTACTATTGGAAATGGAAGATGAACTGTAGATCAAAAGCCAGTATGCTTTTCCTATGAAGCTGTGTTGAACAAAGACCTACTGTGCAAAGGGAAGAATTAGCATGAGCTGGGAATTACCTCCAGTTGTCAAGCTTGACTCAGACTTTCCTAGATATCTGCAAAAGGGCAGATTTCTTGGTTATCCATGCAAGGGAGCAGTGAAGTCTGGCTGCTCTTTAAATGACTGGGAATCAGGAGTTGAGTGTGGTAGCGCAGCCAGCACCCTCCTGCAACACCCAAGCAATGCAAACCAGGAGGTTGCAGCCAAGATCAGCCAAGAATGCAGATCCTTAAGCAAGTTTGTGGGAATGAGGCAGGTCTGGGGCCAACCCAAGGATCTGATCTGCTCTCAAGATCCAAGCCTGGATCAGCAGGATCTGTGTCCGATGATAGTCATGGCTATGATTGAGCTGCTGAGTCAGCACACTTGTAATGTAGCTCAGGCAGATATTGAAGACCCAAGACTGAGCTGAGATGGGGTTCCTGGGCCCAGTCCTCTGGTGTGTCTGCTTATGATCATGAAAGCCCTTTAGTATCCCAAGGGCTGTGACACTCTCTGAACAGCAGATGGAAAGAACTGAATCTGCTAGTCTGGAATTCAGTAGCAGATGAAAGGTTATAGTCCAGATTTCCCATATAAAGCTGGATGGTTGTCTTGAGCCTTGAAAAGAATGAAATGCATGTTTGAGATTTTTAGTTTTGGCACTGTTTTTGACACAGTTGGCTGGATCTTGTCGACAAGTAGGTTCCATATAGGGTCATTTTTGGTTTTGCAGGTATGAAAAAATGAAAAATCCTTTCTCGTATCAAATTGGAACAGGCAAGGGTATTTTTTGCTAAGCACAGCTGGTGTGTTTTGAAATGCATCAACTTGAGTATTGGATATCTCCAAAGAGACTTTCTGCCATTTAAAGAAGGCTGGGTACACGATCTCTAGTTACTTATATGATCTGTATTTTGGGCTGTTGAGTTTCAGGGTTGAATTAACAAGCTGCTGCTTATTAACGCCAGAGCAGTAATGGGCTTAAGCGTTTGTGGCAAGTGTAAGATAATACAGTATAGCTTAAATCTTGATTTCATTATGCCTTGAACTTAATTTGGAGGGAATACAAATGTAGACAATTACCAATGACTTGATTATGGCTCAGGCCATTAATCACCATTTCAAAATGTTAAGAGAATAAAAAAAACTTCCAACTGTTGGTGTTAAATGATTCTCTTGTCTCCTTTTTTTAAATAGGGATACTTCAGATTAACAAATACTCTCTTATTGGTAGGATGATTCCTTTACATTTCATGGAATATTATTATGGACATGTGGTATCTCTCCCACCTCTTTTATTTTTTGTCAGCATTAATCTAAAGTGAAACTTGCTGACTATAGTGATTGAGAAATGAGGGCTCTAGCCTGATCTTCAGGTGACAGCCTTTGACAGATGTGATCTGAAATTATTCTTGGTGTGCATTTGCAATTCTTGGGGCACATTTTTACCTGTGTAGAAATGTCATGGTATAACATGATGCTTTTTTGTAGTATGGGGTTTGCCAATTAGCTCTAGATTTAACTCCTCTTATAAGTTGCCCATAATAATAGCCCCATATTGACCCCAAAGTTTTAGGCTGTAAATCTTCAGTGATTTAGCTTCTGCTCTTACATTTTATGTCCATTCTGTGCACCTGGTAATCCTTTAATTAGGCAGGAGTTTTCTGGGATTTAACATAAATGCCATTCTCTAATTGGCTATTTTCAGGGCAGCTTTTGAAAAATGAAACAGCTGCATTTGATAATAAAGTAGGCCCATTAGACTGTTCAAGCCTACTGACTTTTTATAATTGAATATATGTATGTTACTGGTTAGATGTGATTTTTAAAAATGTAGAGCAAAACACTCTATGAATATAGAAGATTCCTGATTTTCCTCGTTGTTTTGAGTTGTTTTCCAAGTTGTTTAAAAAAAAAACAACAATAATTCCTGTATGTCATACTAAGCTGTCATTCAGCTGATTTGCATTTTTAGTGTAAGTTTTTGTATCTTCTTTTTCAGAATCCGCATCTGTCCTCACTTATCTCGGAGGAAACAACCTTTGAAGTGCCAGTTACAAAAGCAGTTCAGCTCACTAGAGAAGATGCAATAAAAACTGCTTTGCTCTTAGAACTTGATATTTCAGTAAGTTAGTGATGGTTTTTTCTTTAGTGGATTAAAATAAAGGGGAAAAAGCATGTGTTGTTAATATCTGGAGGGGAAAATTATTTATTTGACTGTTAAAAAAGAAAAAAATAATTCCCTATACAATAACAAGAAAAAATAATTCCCTATACAATAAGATGTCAGCTTATGCTGATCTATTTTGTAAGTGTGAAGTTTGATTTATTCACTGAAAAATAGGACTTCCTGGAAGTCAAAACAGAAATAAGGTGTCATTTTCTTTGTTTTTCCATGGATGTTGTACTGACCGAAATACCTTTTTGAAGGGAACTTGCAGTGGAGATAGGTGCTCAGGGAATGATGTAAATGAATAATCTTTCAGTTTTTAAGTATTCAACTTGAAGAATATTCAGAAACTGTGGTAAACTGTGACTGTTCCTTGTAAGGGGTAATCTACACAAGTAGTAATTTGACTGATAGTATAGGAATTGTTTGCTCTCGAGCACTGTTTCTGCCTCAGGCATTCATTTTCTCTGACTTGTTAGTATGCTGCTCAAACTGTCAACCTCAGTTACCCTCAGTTAAAAGACTAGTTTAGTTTATTTAGTGAAGATCATACTTTATGTACTGGTTTGGAGATGAAAAGCAGGCAGAGAGCATTCAATATTACTTTATAAGAAATCTTTAAAAGGAAAGTATGTTGCTTTTGAGTGGTTTCCCAGATTTGTAGAATATTGCTTTTGGGATAGTCTGATTTTTGGCAGTAACTTTTAATGGATTCTCTTCTTTTAATCTATGTCAATATATGGGACATCTTTAAATTCCAGTTATAAAGAGAGCCTGTTTATCTGAGTAACAGGGGTTTTTCCATATATTTGTATGTGTATTTGCATTCTGTCAGCACCCACTGGAAATGTAAGCATTTTTTGGCCTTTTTCACCTGACATTCTTAACAGTCTGTGTATGCAGGTCACCTCACCTGATGCACAAGGGAAACATAATGATGCAATTATAATTCTGTATGTTCCTTGAACAGGCAGAAGCTTGAGTAGGGTTTCAGCACTTGCACATGAGAATCTCAGGCAACTAAGTAGAATCTAGGTCTTAAGATCTTAAGATTTGAATTTTCACTGTGCTCATATCTTATTATTTTTCTTTTTCCTCCAGAAAATAAAAGCAGCTGGGGCAATTTCAGTCACAGTTCATCAAATAGTTTAACCAGCAAATTTTCTTTTAGTGATAATTCATCTCTATTAAACATTGCCTTAATTATGAGGACTTCATTTCTCTGCTCTTCTCAAACCAGAAAACAAAGTACGTCAGTAATTAATGGTCTGGGCTGATTATATAACACATCCTCTTAATACGTATTTATTTTCCTTCTATTTAGGCTGCTCAGCACTTCTCATTAAAGAATGTCCAAACATTTAAACCAGATAAGGAAAGATTTTTCTAACTAGTAAGGTTAAGCCTGGAAAGAAAACATGAATATTTCGTTTCTGATGCGCTCCAAACATGAAGTGTTAGTACAGAGTAAAAGAACATGTAAGTTAATTTGAGTGCAATAGCAGGAAGACTGTTGTGAGGAATGGGGATGCTGTTAGTCTTGGTCTGTGATACAATGTAATAGAAAGGATTCCTTGTTTTAAAACAGGATACAGTCTTTGACTACCAACCTGGAGATGCCTTCTGTGTACTATGTCCCAACAATGCCAACGAGGTGGAAGAGCTTCTTTACATCTTGGGACTTTCTGAAAAAGGAGATGACTTTGTTTGTGTAAAGGTTAAGCAGGACACTAAAAAGAAAGGTATGGCGTGATGCACCGGTCACGGAGCAGGGCTCCTTTCTGTGTTGGTAATAAGTAACTGGTATGCATAGTTTCAAACATTTTTACCTTTAGTGCTGGGACACAGCTGTCATTTAATGGAGGCATAGTGGAAGTCACAGCAATGTGTTAAAAAGAGAGGATACATAAGCATGCTGCTGCTGGTTTTACTGTAGATGAATTAGCTTCTGACTGGGAACTTCAGCCTGGAATTGGTGTTCATCCATTGTATTCTTACTCTGTGCTCCTTTACCTTTATGGATGAGGCTTTAATCACATAACCTTAAAATCCCCCACTTGAAAGTAAAATCTCCTTGCACAACACTTCACATCAATCTGGTTTGCGTCTTTAAGAGGGCCACACTCCTGAAGTAGAAGCCCTAGTGCTGTTGCAAGGTCAATTTGAAGGGGCTGTTAAGTCCATGTGATCTGTTCTGCTGAGTCTTATGATGCCATGCTTCAGAAGGGTGGCTGCAGGTTCAAGGTATGCCTGTGGAGCCGTTCAAATTACTCCATTCTTGCATTGCAATTGGTGTCTTAATGGTGCTGCTGTGTTGTGCCTTTTTTCCACAGGGTGGGGTAGGGCTCTTTATTGTTCTGATCTGTGTGTAAATCAGTTCTCCTGGTGAGATTCCCTTTGCTTTTGTTGTTGTTAAGGGCAACACAAGCTGTCTGTTAAGTATGAGATGTAAATATGCCCCTTTCTTGGAATTCACAAGTAATGAGCAGTTTCTTAATGAGGTGAGTTCATGTGACAGGCCATGCTGGAGCATATCATATGGGATATCCATGTGCAGCTGATCCTGTCCTTGACCCCCACTTCAGTAACTAACCTCTGCTGGGCAGGGTCACAAGTTAGATTTGATGCAGAGCCATTGTCAGTTTCAACCTGGTTTCCTGCACTGGGGATAGGCCCTGCATCTGCAGGGCTGGTTTAGCTGTTATCTCCAGCCCTATTGTGATAACCCCCTTCCCCTGGCACCTCCCGCTTGGGGAACCCCCAGCATCCTTGTTCCTCTGGAACATATAGCCTCCAAGCACCCTGGCTTCCCTCCTCACTCCCTCCAAAGGTCCTGAAAGGTCTCGGCTTTGTAACAACCTGCATTTGGATGAGGATTGGTCCTGAGCACCCTCAAGCTCAAGCCTTTCTGTAAGAAAACAATTTGGGAGCTACAGAGCTAATTAATTAAAGGGTTTTTTTGTCACATAAATGCTCTTATATTGCTTTTGGAGTTAACTTGGAATAGCTATGTTAGCATGACACACAGTGAGGCTGATAAGCCTGGCTGACACCATGAAGGGGTAAATGAAATGTCAGTGTACCTCCTTCCCAGAAATGGAACCTATAGAGAGTAGAGGAGGGATTATTTGCTTGTACAGAAACCCCTTGGATCTGCTGAGCCTCAAGCTCCAGCAGTGCACTGGCTGGGTAGACCTTGGAATGGCTAATTAGAAAGCTTCAGCATGTTTTGGTTTTCAGGAGTGCTTATTGATGGAGGGGGAAAAATGTGGATGTTCCTTTTCCTGGTAAGTATTCCACTAAATTTCTTTGAGGTGGAAAGTAGCAACAAAGCCTGGAGTGGTTTAGCAAAGAAATTTAATTGAACACCATGTAGTATTCTCCTCTTTTTGTTTTCTGCTTTCCTAACTAGTTTTGACTTTTCATTGCAACGCTGTCATTGATACTTCATTGGAACATTGTCTTGTTCTTTAGCTGATCGTTTCCACTAAGAGCTGGGGCTCAAACATACAGAATGAAATGCAGTTTAGCTCTCATATTTATTGAAGAAACAAGCACTCTGTGATTCTATCTTTTAATATTAACAGATGTACATTTTGTTGTTTGTTTTTTTTTTTCCCTCCCACTGAACTAGGAGCATCTCGTCCGCAATACATCCCTGAAAGAAGCACTCTGAAATTCATTCTAACCTGGTGTCTGGAAATAAGAGCAGTTCCCAAAAAGGTGTTTATATGTTTGTTCTTCTAAAGAGAAGTTCTTAGTAATTTTGTGCTTTATGGGCTCTTACAGATCTGTCCTTGCTTCATGTATGGTTACTATGTTTCATGGTGAATAAGGATTATCAGTTCTTATGCTGCTGTTTGTACTTTACTCTGAGTCACTTTGGGTGCTTTTCTGCTAAACATTCCTGTTCTGCAGTACCTTGATTCATAACTAGTCTGGAAGTAAGTAGAAGAGTATTAGATAATTTGGTGCCAAATAACTGGAAGGCTGACTGAACCTGGACCCTTAGTCGTTTTAGAGAAATCATTCTTTCTAATCAGAGGGGGCCATGTCAAGTTCTGACACTAAAAAGACATGTGTTGCTATATGCAAATATACTACAGTGTCCTTTAAATTATTTTAAAGCTTTTCTTTAGCATTTCAGTAACCTAACAGAATTCAAAGAAAGATTTTTGTTTGTGTAATATTTGTTCTCACAGTATGTAAATACAACGTGTAAATTTTCCTTTCATTTTGTGCATGTATTTGGTATTGCCAAAACACATTTTAAAGATAACTTTGTATGAAGGATGAAGCTAAATGGTTGTGTTCATTGGATCTCTAAGGGAAATCAGTTTTTAGGAGGACCTTTTTATTCAGTTTAGTGGATTTTGCAGCAGAAGAAAATCTTCCAGTTGTTTCAGCCTTTTTAAAACCTCATTTAACAGTTCTAAAAATTTGTCTCAATGATGAGAGTAGGCAGAGTGTGTTGGCTGGGGAATATGGCTGAAGCCAGTTTTGCTGTATTAACTGTTCAGCCTAACGCAACTTAACGCAACTCCATTCTCAAAACTTTTGTCTGGAAGCTCAGTAGTTGAATACACTCACATTACTTTCTGAGTAAGTTTTTGTGCAGAATGTGTCATCTGATTGCATTTGGTGTTTTGTATAACTTTTCTTTTAGGCACTGTGTCTATTTCCACTTTTCTTTTTGGAAAAAAAATTGTAACTATTTACATCTGATTTTTGCGTTATCTTACAATGCTCAAATCAATTTTCTTTTAAGAAAAGTTTACAGTAACACTTTATATACCACAGCAATATTTACATGAGTCATTAAATACCATACTTTATTTATAGCCATTCCTCTTCTAAGACTTTTTATTATTTGTTTCCTGGCTTTTGTAACTTAGCAAATGGTGGTATGTCTTAATTTAATTTGTGTTATGGAGCTGCCTAACTAAAGTGTAAATACAGGAATTAAGAAGGCGTTTCGTAAATTTTGAATTTTTTAGGGAATGGCTTGTGCCTGTTTATTTGTCTCTACCCTGCTCAGACTAAGTAGGATTTTCTGCTAACTCGTCCCAGACTTTAGAAGAGCAGCCAAAAACAAACAAACAAACAGGTAAATTTTTGATAGTAGGTAAAAGTGTACATTAGGAAATTAAATGTATTATCCATTAACCTGCTTCCTCTCCCCAGGAAACCCAAGTTTTTCCCAGTTTTGTAATCCTTTTCTGAAAAGGACAATTTTTTTTTTACGTTTCACTCTTATTCTTTTTCCTACAGGCATTTTTGCGAGCTCTTGTAGAATGTACCAGTGATGCAGGAGAAAAACGGAGGCTTCAAGAGCTTTGCAGCAGACAAGGAGCCTCTGATTACATGCGCTTTATCAGAGATTCTAATGTTTGCTTACTGGATTTACTTCATGCTTTTCCAAGCTGCAAGCCTTCACTTAACCTGTTAATTGGTAAGTGACTGATTAAGATTTAATTAGATTTTGTTTCTGCAAAGGCATCAGACTAAATGTTCAATTTCCCGAGAAAGGGAAGCAGTTCAGGTAACTGTTTTAGAAGTATTACGCTTTCTATTGTGATCAAGCTGAAACTGTTGTTGGGGGACAGAGCTCTCTTCTGCAGTTTGTAGCCTTTGGCCCTTTTTCTGCAAACACTTGGGCTCATACCTTTGCTTTAATTGACTCTGGATTAGTCCTGTACATAAAAGTAAGCATAAGGTGCCTCTGGGATTAGGGTCTTTACAGGTTAGTTTATCAACTGCTTATGATTAAAAAAGACATGTTTGCATAACTCCTGATTTCTCTACCTACATGTTCTTTTCTTGCACTTATACGTGTTAAAACAGAATGGTGTTCCCAGTATATTCGTATTTACGTAATGTCTAACACAGTCACTGGGTTCCTGATATAAAACATCAAAGGAATGAGACTCCTGACTGTAACCATCTCTTACACATCTGAAAATACTGGCAGGCATTTTCCAAAGTGAAATTCAGAATTTCTTAATATGCTCCATAATATGAGACAAAGAAATTGCTTTTTATGTTCTTGCAGTCTTCTCCGCACCTACCCCAAATTTCTCCTTCTTAGTACACTGTGGGGATTTCAAAAAATAAATACAAACTCTGTTTCACTTAGTACAAATACACAAATTTTCACAGTGAAAGCAAACACACTTAGCTTTTCAAAGGTGGTATGGAACGTGCTGTAGCAACTTAACTGAATAAAAGGAAGTCTCAAAAGTTTTTGAAATGTGTTTCCCCAGGGAAGTAATGTGCTGACTGGTTTAGTGTCTTTTAGTGATTTCACTGCACTGGCTTTTCTTAACTCTGCCTAGCAGCTATCATATGTAGCAGAGCATCTTTAAAATATGCCAGAGTGTCCCTGTACTGTCAAAAAGGGTAGTTCTGTTTATGTACATACATATGTACATACATATGTCGATATAAATGTGTGTGTGATGTATATAGTGGGTTTCCTGCTGAAAAAATGCTCACTCAGTAAACTGTCTCTGTTGTTTTTTAGCTGAGATTTCAAAACTTCGCACAGATACTTGTAGTGGTTTGAAATTGAACTGACACATCTGCTTTCTAGGACATTATATATAGGAACCTTTCAGTCAAGCAATTCCTGTTGTGAGAGCTTTTGAGCTTATAGATGAAAGGTGGGGAAAATTAAATTTCAAGCTTCACCATACCTACTAGCTACCAGCATCTCTTTTATGCACCTTACAATTGTTTTTAATTGACCAAGAACCCCATAAAATAACTGTTGGAACCTCATTGTATAGGATCTTGAATTAATGTTCTGCAAAGTCTAAATGCTATTTAAAATAGAGTTCAAGTCTTAATAGCTTATTTCTGAACCACAAACACCGAATGTTTATAGAGTAAAATTACAGTTAAATTAAAATATCTTGTATTCTGATGTATTGTGAACACTCATGATATTTTCACTGGAGTGAATCAAGTAAGTGATGCTTTTTTTTTTCCTACAGAACATCTTCCAAAATTACAAGCTAGATCCTATTCAGTATCAAGGTAATGAAATATTCAAATTATATATCGTTGGTTTATTTAGGTATGTTTTTTTTCTCATATGTGTTTGTGTACATTATAATCTAGAGAAGAAAGAGAGGAGTGAAGGATAAAACATAATTGCGACCCTACTGCAAAAAAATGTAATGTTTGACTATTTCAAACAACATTGTTTTGAATGTCTGACAAGGCTTTGGTAAAGTTCTCAAGCACAAGCTCACTCACACGTGGGTCCGGTAGGAATATTGATTCCCTTCTGTAGACACTGGCACTCTTGAGTCCAACCTTAAGACATTTTCTAGCTATATATAGATATATATTATGCAGTTAGCTGAACACTGAGAATCTTGATTCAATTGAAATGGCTTGGGCTGCAGATGGACCTGCTGCAAGATTGTACAGCTGTTTCTCAGGTTTTGATTTGGTTTTTTAATACTTTTGTCTTCACAGTTCAAACTTATATCAGCCAGGAAAGCTGCGCTTCGTATTTAATATTGTGGAGTTCCCTGCCTGTCCCACTAGACCAATCTCACGGAAAGGAGTGTGTACAGGGTGGCTTGCTGAATTAGTTGCACCTCTACTGCACCCCAATAAAAACACTATGGATACAAAAGGAGAAAGCTTTTCAACTGCAAAGGTATGAATATTAGATCAAAACTCATTAATTGTTAAATTTATGCATTTTTTAAACAACTGCAGGTTTCTTTGTTCATTGCTGTGACGTAATGCAGATGTTTTGGCATGGTACACTTTAATTTTGTAGCTCTGCCCTACTTTTAAGATTACCTTTCCCTCTGTAACATGTTTAGAACTTCATTGCTAAGTACATACCTGAATTGGGAAACTTCCCATTGCTGAAAGGACAGAGTTGTTTTCAACCCCATGGTAGTTCTAAGCACATCTTGGAGGATGTTTTCATGGACTAAACTACAACTGTGCAATTAAATGGTTGTGACTGTTTGCATTGTAAGAGAGAGGTACTTGGTCATTTCCAGGAGAGGGTGGCAGATAATAGGGGAGAAATTGAAGAACTCACACTTTTTGTTAGGTCTTGCAGAGTTTGGAAAGGTCAAGTTATTGAATATGACACAAGGGACAGTCATCTGTTTTTTCTGATGTGTATCAATGATGGTTTGGCTTGGTGCATGTTACTGGGAGAAGGTACATTTTTTTCCCCTCTTTTCCTTTTGTGTCAGAGATTCTGTGTAATTAACTGGTCTCAAAGTTATTAGGTGTAAACTAATTACTAAAAATTGGAATTCTACTGTGTAATTAGTATGACGAACTATTGCTAGTCTGATCTATACTTGATTATGAAAAATGGAAACAAACTTAGAATTTGGTTGAAAAAAAAGGTGCCAATAATTCAAATTCAAAGTGTCAGTCAGGCAAAACAGAAGAAACCCCATACAAGTTATCTTTATTTTTTAAAACTAATGCAAAACACAAAGTGATTAATATGTGTATCATATTCCAGTGTTCACGTCTGCTCTTTATTTGAATTATAATTTAAGTTTATTAAAGATCTAACATGAAAAAGAAGTGGTTAAAAAGAAAAAAAATATTATCACAAAGTGAATCTGGATAAAGTTCAGAACTATTTCCATCTGCTGTGCAAACCAGAATTCAGCACAGATAAATGTGTAGCAGTACACACAGATTACATGAATATATGGAATAACAATACATAATAGGTGAGTGTGATCTTGTGCAAAAATACCGTAGATTAATGGAATATACCATTTGCACTCTGTTTTAGAAGAATTACCAGTCTGGCATTACTAATAGGGAAAATAGCTCCTAACTCAGGTGTGGTTTGAAGTATATACGTAAATACTGTTCCCCACCAACAAGAATTATACTATTTTTTTATCATCACGAAAACAGGAAAATAATCCTGTTTAAATTTGTTGTATCTGTAGTGAATTAGAGTATAAGAAATGAGTAGTCCTAAACCACTCAGGTTTACAGAGCAAAGTTAAAATAACTTGGTCTTGTGCCTCACTTCTTCCTTAAACTTGAAAGTAAATTCAAATCCTTTCATAATTAATGTGCAAAATAAATTGGATGTTTGCTTGTTACTTCAGTTGATGATGAAGCTCTGCTGTGGCTGCTGCTGAGTCTTGAATAATCTTTTAAAGAATTAAAAATAGTCCTCTCTTGTTTTCTATACATTTTGTTGGCCATGTCTCGTAGAATAGTTTTGGAGCTCCTAAAAAATTATATTTAGGCTTCCTTTCAGACACAGATATGAAGAGTAGAATTACAGTTTAGTGGTAGAATTATATAAAACACTTTCAAGGATCGTTGAGCTGTTATCTGCCTCCCCTTACCCATATGCATTTTTGGAGATCATGTAAAAGTTTTATGAAAATTAAGAAAGCAAGTTCAGTATCAGTAAGCTTCAATTTACTGTAAATTAGATGCCCACAACTCAAAAAGTTGAGTTGCTTATAATAACAATAAACTTTGTTTAATAATAAATAATAATAATAAACTTTAATTCCCTTTGAGTACCAACACCAAACTTTGCAGGAATTTTGTAACAGTATTCCCCAAATTCATGGTGCAGTCAACTTCTGTATTTGTGTGGGCTTCCTCCAGATGGATTAATAGGTTCTGTAAATATGGTGTGAGATTTTTTTTCCCCCGAAACTTATGTGAGCTTTTATTCTAAATGTCTTTGTAGCATTAAAGATAAACTCTGAAACGCAGGATTTGAAAGGGTGTGTGGATATATACGGTATGTAAATATCCTGAAGGTTCTGAAAAATGTCATGGTGTTTTCACTGCTTAAGAAAATTCTTCAATTGTATTTTATTTAATTTTATTTTAGATACCTATTTTTCCTCGTCCAAACAATACTTTCCACTTACCTGCAGACCCGTCTGTCCCATTCGTCATGGTTGGTCCAGGAACAGGAATTTCACCATTCATTGGTTTCCTACAACACAGGTGTGTACCAAGTTGTTACCTGGAAAGCAACCTTTTTATTTTGAGGAAAAATATAGCCTCAGGTTTTGAGCATAAATGCAGTTAATACTTTTTTTTCCTTTTTGTAATGGTAGTATGCTGATTATAAACAGTCTTACTAAATTCCAACAAGCATTGCTTGTGTACTTACTTGTTTTTCAAATGAGTAAAACTTACACTTTTGTCTGACTGCATTTGATGTTCATAGTAGATATATGAGGAATTGAGTGAATTGTTTAAGAACTAATACCTAGCTTGGTACGTAAACTATCAACTCGGCAGTAGTGTTTGGAAGTTCATGTTTGAGGGAAGATAGATCCCTTATTTTCCCCCTCCAGCTTCAGCAGCGTAATTTTGCAAGGCACAGAGATGTTTGTTTAAGGAGTGACATCACATCACGAAGAATATGTAAAAACATGATCATTCTGAGGAATTAAAGAACAGGAAGAGTGGAGTATTTGGATGGGAATGGTTTTAAGTTTTATAAGTAACCAACACATATAATTTCTAGGTGACTCACCAGTTCCAGCAAGATAACGGGAGTTTCTTGGGTCCTGTAACAATTGTTTTTAAAACATTTTATTTGAGAGAAAAGTGAATTTTTGACTTGATGTTTCTAACTCCATGCTTCTGCCTTTATCAAATCATTTTATACCATCCTTGCTCCTTAATTTAAATTCCTAAATATGCCCTTATCTCTCAGAAGTATTTTGCCTTTTATTATAAGGATAAATGAAATCTGTCTCTCAAAATGCAACTGGAAAATTGCAGCTAAAACTCCTTTAAAGTAATACTTTCGGCCTTGTTTCAAGAAAATGAAATAACTTTTTTGAATATGTGATAGTTATGGGTTCTTATTCATAAAAATCTGGCAGGTTTCTACTGCTAAATGGAAAGCATGCTAAAATTGCTGAGTTTTCCCAGGTGGTTTTACAGGGCTTCCAGTGAGGGATAAAAGGGAGTGATCTTATTCAGCAGTTGGAATTGTTTTGTGAGATGTTTGGATGTGTCAGTCTTGACTATTCCAATATCAAACTGTTGACAAAAAACATTAAAATGTTGAAGTTGATTGATTTTTGAGCTGGTCCAAAAGTGAGTAGTCAAGAAAATCAAACAAGGAGGGTTTGACTTTGATTTGTCTTTAAGTCATTTCACATTTCTGCCAATCCAGAGTTTTTTTGGAATACTACTTTAAATGAGAATTAGGTTATAGATGTTTTAGATTCTGCACTTGATAAAACAGGATTGGATTTTTTTTGTCTGTTTAGGCAGAAGCTCAGAGAACAACATACAGACTGGGAATTTGGAGAAACGTGGCTGTTTTTTGGTTGTCGGCATCAGGATCGAGACTATTTGTTCAAGCAAGTTCACTATTTGACATTCATTTTGTATTCATGAGGGAATGCTTATTTCTGAGCCATTGCTAACAGGTTTTTATTACCTTTCAGAGATGAGCTGAGATGTTTTCTTGAAAATGGCACATTAACTCATCTTAAGGTTTGTTTCTCAAGAGACTCTTCAACTGCAGAAGTAGCTCCACCTAAATATGTGCAAGACATCATTAGGCTTTATGCCAAGGAAGTTGCCAGAGTCCTGCTGGAAGAGAAGGGTTACTTCTATATATGTGGGTGAGTAGAGTGGAAATGGACTGTCCCAGAAAGAAAGCAGTATAAGCAGAAGTTTGAGGCTTTAGAAAAACTTAGAGCTGTCTGAAAGAAGGGACCAACATGATGCTGAAAGAGCCTTCCTGGAAAGCTAGAGTTTCATCCCTATGTCCCTTGTTTTCCAATATAGTTGTGAAAGTATAGCTTATAATGACACAGTTCCACTGATTATTTTAGTCACTCATTTTTTCTTTTTTTTTTTTTCTTTTTTCTCTTTTTCTTTTTTTAGTTTTAAGTTATAGGAGGTTTCAAGCTAATAGAATTTCTCTTTAGAAAATGAGATATATGAATGCATGTGATGGAGAACTGCTCAGCTGTGAGACAGTAGCAGTCTTTTGCTGTGTTTCAGGTTTGGGTGCTGCAGAATGCTAAAGCTCTATTATAGAAATATATATTGTACAGCGGGAAATTTTATTTGGATGCGAACTTACCTGGAGGTTCAAGATTTTTAGAAAGTTTGTTGGTGAATGCACAAACTGTTTGAATATAGGGCCCAATGTCAATATGTTCTCCTGCAGATATAAATGTCAGCTATTTATATTAAAAATAGCATTTGTAGTAAGTGAGGGGTTTGGTAGCTTTTTTTGTTGTTCTTTTTTAATATTGGAACCACATAGTGATATAATAATATACCTTCAGTAGGTCCAATTCTTCCTGAAAGATACCAGTTATTCTGTGACAGCTCAACTAGAGTTGCAATGTTTTTTACTTACAAATTACAGCGTGCTGAAAACTTTGTAATGTTTGATTGAGAGAAACCCTGGTTACTGTCAGTGCTCAGCTACATGAAAACTCAGTGAGAATCTTGCTGTACAATATAAAAGCTATATTTTTATTTAGATTTTTTTTAGTGCTGCTTTTCCAATACTATCCTGCCTCTGAAGTTATTGATAAATGGAAAAATAAACATTTTCTTCCTCTAATTTTTGTTTTTCAGAGATAAGAAGCACATGGCTGATGGTGTAAGTGATGCTGTAGTAGACATTTTAAGCATGGAAATGGAAGCTGACAAATTAGAAGCAATGAAAATCCTGGCCATGCTTCGAGAAGAAAGACGCTATTTACAGGATGTGTGGAGCTAAATTATTTAGCTTTTCCTATGCCTTTGTAATACAAAATACTTCTTTTCACACATATGCTTTTGACTAAAAGTTATTGTCAAAAGTGCTGTCAGTAGTTACACAACTGTTAACTTTCTCTATTGACCTTCAAACAGAAACATGAAACCTCTTAAATGACAGCAAACCAGGCTGGCCTTTGAAGTTGCAGAGGTTTTAGAGATGTTACATAATGGACTGTCTCAGTGCCTTGATTCTCTCATTTTAAGATTAGTTTTAATGTATAAATTAAAAACTTCTGCACTTGTACAAGCATAATTGTATGTTGACATTACATCATGTCTCTTTTCCTATAATGTACACATAGAGAAGCTACAGAGTAAATATGTTACACAATGATCTCTGTGTTATCAAATACATTACTGACTTGCCAAGATTTATTTGAATACTTCCTAGATGCTTTCTGAAACTGCGTATAGTTTTTTGGCCCTCACAATGAAAGTAACTGCCAAAAGGTTACTGAAGAATTTCAGCTCCAAAATTCTCTTTAATACTTAGCTTCTTCATTACATCATTACTTTGTGTCTCAAAGTTTGCCACACTCCATTTTATCCTTATTAGATTTTCCTGCATAATTCTTTTGAAATTGTTTTCATTCCTGTCTCTAAAATGTTTGTTTATGTTGAACATAAATGTTAATTTATGAGCAAACTCAAGCAGTTGGGCTGAATTTGGTTGCTTAGTGGATAGTTTCTCAGATTACCAAATTAATTTTGTTAATTTGAAGACATACTAAAATACAGTGTTTTGAAAGCAGTTGCCCATGTGACAATCCACTGCAAAATTAGTTTGTTGAAAGCATATTTTTCAAGTGTCTGGTCTTCTTTCTAACAAGGCACATTTGATGTACAAATAGGCAGAAGAGTAAAAGTGTAAATTATTCATGGTTCTCTTCAGATCTCTCCTCTTCCCTCTGCTTTTTCTAACTTCTAAATATCCGTGTTGTCTTCTCGGTTCCCTGTTACCCTTAGACCTTTAAGGATAAAAACAAAGTATGAGAGAATATTTTAGACAAATCATTTTTTCCTGGGGAATATTGTTGTTTTGTTTTGACTTACACATAATCAGAACAACATCAGTTACTCCAAGTCTTGTGGTTGTCTAGTGATTATTAGTTAATTGGTCAAGTTGTGCACTGTGCTTTTTGAATCTGTTTCACACATAAGCCTTGTCGTATTTTTCATTGCTCCTGGGGAATGTGTAGTGTTTTGCTGTCTGTTTCCTTTGGAAGTTAAGCCCCAAGGCCACAGTTTTTGGCTTAACTGCATTCCAGTTTTACTTTGGAACTAGAAGTGGAGAATAACCGTATTAGTAAAGAGAAAAGAAGTCTTACCTGTGGTGTAATTAGAAATCCTTCTTCTGAGTCTCTGCCTTTCTGTCTTTGGTGCTTCTGTTATTCTGAGAGCCTAAAGTAAAGAAGAAAATGAGGAGTGCCTTGAGCTTCTGTCTTTCCTGGTACTATGCTGCTGATTATCTCATAGATCTGTCTTTCTCATGCATTTCCTCAATAATTGCACTGTCAGGAAATCAAGTTACTTTCCCAAAATGCAAAGGTATTTTTTAACAATATGTTTGAGTAACCTTTTTTCAGTGGAATGGAAAATCTAAGCCTCAGACTTTGTGGGAAGGGGTAGGTCCGTTGTGCTCTACAAAAATTCTGTCATGGGTCTGGTGTGTTAGAGGTGCCCACAATGTGGGGGAGAGAGTGGATGTGTGTTATTGTGGGGCTGGTGGTGGGTATCAAGCTGTATTCAACGAAAAAAACCTTATTTCTGCTTGTTTGATGTTCTTCAGTTTCCTGTTTGTTCTTTGCCATCATTTGTATCGCTGCATTGGACAGGAGATGCACAGAATGCTGCAATTAGTGGCAGAGGTGCAGGTTTTACGTGGACTTTCCCATTGACTAGTGGCTTACTGTGCTATTAGTTATTGTATTGTATTTTGTACTCCAAAAATGCTAACTTTTTTGAAACCATCCCCGATTGTTATGCAAATTCTTTTCCAGCAGTTATATTTTATGTGGCCTAATAGCAGTTACTTTTGCTGTACAAAGATGTGCTGTCACATAAACCATATGGAAAGTATATACTGCATGTTTTATCTAAATGTTATCTGTAGCCTTACTAAAACTGCTCCCCAGATGATAGTATTTCTGTGCTGTTGAGGATAGAAATACTTTGGCAGGTTCCATGCTTGGCTACTATAGTGTCCAGGGTAGATAGCATATCAGATGCCTATACCTGAAGACTCTGTGCTTTTTAAGATGTTGGTCAGCACCAAGTCATAAATAATTTTAAATGTATCTGACTCACAAATCTCCAGTTTGAATGGACAAATTCAGCTGCAGCTGTATGTAGTGTGAAATTCCATGTTGGAGACCGTATCTATTTAGTCCATTACTCTGTAGCTGATTATTTTAAAAGAAGAATAAAAGAACACTTATAGTGAGCAGATATGAAATGACCTGCCTGAAACTCAAGTTTGAGCTTTACGGTTCCTATGAAGTCATATGCTTGCAACTGTTATTTTCTAAAATGTAAAAAATTATGTTCTCATAGTATATTCAAGCATTTAGCAGTTTGGTATGTTGATGGCTCTGCACAACCAGTTTTATTAGGGTCTAAGTTTCACTGGATATCCTTTGTATAAAAGGGACTGTTTCTTTTCCTGAGTAGCTTTGTCATTCTGCATCTCAACCTGACAGCTTCAAATTTTTCCCTGCCCTTCAAATGGAAACTTTATGCCTCCTTCTGTGCATCCATGTCACTCCAGTTATGCATCATCTGAGTTGGGAAGACCAAAACTGATTCAGTAGTCTTAATTTCAGACATGATGGTGATTATGTAATAAAAAACAACAGAATATTTTTAATACTATGTTACATTTTTTTCTGGGTTGTGGGGTGTCTTGAAGAAATAAAAGTGGGAGAATCACTGCATGCCTGCTAGTGGTTATAGGAAGAATAATTGCCTGAAAGGTATGAGCTAGAAGCTCTGGTCAGTTATGGTGAATTGAGAGATGAATCTAAATTGCCAGAATGGTATGAGCAATTGATTTGGATCTTAAAATTGGGCTAGTTGGTACTATGGTTTAATATAAGACCTGTAGACTATTTTTATGAAGCTTGAGAGTCTGCTTTCCAGTTGCAGAAAATGTGTAAATATAAAAAGCTGCTCAGTATTATTAAAGTTGCCTAGCATAAAGAAATCAAAATGCTTTTAAATTCATGGCAAAAACAGTATATCAATTTGTTTAGTCTCAAAACCCCATTCAAATCTATTTCATATTGAAAGAATCATAGTTTTATACAAATGCAAATTACAGTCTTGAAAAGTTGATTCAGCACCACTACAAATTACAGTCACTTTCATTAGCATTTGAATAAATGCTTCGCTTGTGCTGGAAAAGGTTTGTCATGTTGACAAAGCACTCCAAGCCAGTTGTGCTTATTAAAAAACAAGAGATCCTACTGTTGGTTTGAAAACAGCAGTTTTGTAAGGCTCCATCAGTCAGAAGTATTCATTTCTAATCTGATTTTAACTCTATTGCTTGAAGGATTGATTAGTTTTTCTTTTTTTTTTTTTTTTTTTTTAAAAAGCCTTTTATTGTAACTTGCTAGAAGATCAACAGGGCTACTTCCAGTACTTTCTTCTCAATGTTTTCAGTTCTTAAGGTGTTGTGAGAAGAACGGTGTCACTTGCCCTTGACTTATGAACATCACCACACCAAAGCAGAATTACAGTGCTGTGATTGCTCAGCTTTTTTTTTTTTTCTTTTTTTGGTGGAGGCGGATGTTGAAACAGGCAGTTGTGTGAACATCTGCACATTCCATGTGTCTGTAAAAATTACTTTTTTACAGTTAAACACTGGCTCCCTGGTTGTGATTCTTACAGACCATACTTCTTGAAATTAAGATAGTACAGCACTCTGTTTTGGTGGAAATAGATTCCTGTAGAATAAGCCACTCTTTATGTCACTGGCACTCCTTTTTGTGTTCTGTAAGGATGAAAAAGGAGCAGTATATGAGCTGTCAAAAGTGCAGTCAACAGCTTGTGGCTCTCAGAAGACACTGTTTCAAAGGCAGAATCCCTTTTTCATGTTACAGTTCTTAAACATGCTGGAAGGGGGTGACATTGGTGCCAGTAGAAGCCCCAGAAGCACAGCTTGACTGTAGTAAATTTTTACATTTTCCTTGCCTAAGAACAGCTGGAGCAAACACAAATAGGAGAGGGAGAAAGGAATCCTGTAGCATTTTTAAAATAAATTATTGGATGCCCAAGAGTTTCACACAAGTTGGTTTTTAAAACATCTGTTACTATGAGATGCAGAACACACTGATGCTTTTTAAGTTACTGTTGAAAAACTCCCCCCAAAAAAGCTAATTCCTGAGTAGAAATGGCTGTATTTATCTACCAATGGGCAAGTTTCTTAAGGTCTTACAGCTTTGCACAGGGAGAGTATTGCATTTTAAGGTAAATGGAACCATTTTTCATGTTTGTAAAACATCCTGCAAAAGTCCATTCAGAACTCATAGGCAATAAGGATAATAATTCTTCCAGCAGTAGTTGTTTTGCTACTTTTCTTTAACAGGTTGTGTAAAACATCTTTGTTTTTTCCATGCAGATGCATGTATATATCTAAATCTGAATATAGATACATTGATTGATATATATGCACTGCCATGATCTCCATGTATTTTCTGTCTTTTCTCTACAGATAAAACGTATTTTGAAATATCTGTCTGGATAACTGTGTCCTTCAGTTTACACAGCTGTATTTCACTATTAAAATATACGTAGACCTTTATTCAGAAAATGTCAACACTTCCAAGAAAAAAATAGCTGCTGGGTAGTTCCCTCCATTCATTGCTATCAGAAGAATACAGGATTTTCCTTTTTCATTTTGCAGAGAGAAGGAAACTCACGAAAGCACAAATGGTAAATAACAAGGAGGGCATAAATCTGTAAACTGCTGTACGGATGGGGTGGAAATATTTATTTCTCTCATTCATCGTTTCTTACAGTGCCTTTAGCATGCTAGGGGCTTTCAAACTCATGAAGAAACACAACTGATCTAGTTTATATTAATCTTACTAACTGTAAAGGCTTTTGTAGGATTATTATATTACCAACTGACATTGCTGTCAAAATACAGGGGAATGTATTTTTTGAATTGGTTATTATCCACAGTGTTTCTATTTATATATTCAGTGTTTAGATTGTGAGTCCACTCTAGATTATCTCTGAAAGGTCATGACAACCAGGAGAGATTCCTGAGAGCTGGAGGAAAGAAAATGTCACTTCAAGGACCAGAAGGAAGATCTGAATCACTACCGGCTGGTCAGCTTTGTGCCTTGATCCTTGCAAACGATTACCAAGGGGAATTTGGTGATCTAAATTAGTCATTATGGATAATGAGGAAGTAGTGACTGACCAGTGTGCTAGCTTCTCAAAATAAGTTCCAGTAATAAGTTCCAAAAAGCTAGTTCAGAAAACTGGTTTCTGAGTCAGAGGGGGAGCAATGGATATCATTTGATCTCAGCTGCAGTGAGGCTTTTAACACTGTCTTGAAATAGGAACTAAAGAAGAGTGAGGTGGATTGAAACCTGGCTGAACTGCTGGTCTCTAGTGGTTGGGATTAGTTCAGCTGGATGCCAGTCACTAGTGTTTTACCCCAGGGGACAATATTGGGTCCAGTCCTGTTTAACATCCTCTTTAATGACCTGGACAGTGGTGCAAAGTGCAGGTTCAGCACTTTGGCAGAGGATGCAGAACAAGGGGTGCAGTAAGGGTTGATAGACAATATAAGTGTGGTGCCCTTTCTGGGGCCCTGACTGTCTGGAGCACAGAGACAACAGGAATATCACTTGAAAGTGATCTTTGCAAGTGGTTGTCTCCAGCTTGACTGCGGGCACCTCTCTGATGCGGAGTATAGTTTCACCTAGATGGAAAGATTCTGACTTGAGCTTCAGAGAATAAAAGGAGATTCTCCAAGGAAACTTGCACATGAAGAGGGATTCCTACAGAGGTTACTCAGAGCTTGAGCAGTAGGGATTCTGAGGTGGTTTTTGATGGCTTTGATATCTGCAGCATTATGTGATGGTCTGTGATCTGCATTTTGTTTTCCTGACAGCGCTTTGTGAAATGTTCAGTATTACACATATTTGGGAGGGGTGGACTGG